AAACAATCCATGGATAGTATCCATGGATTCAACTTCAAATAAATCATTTATTATAATCGAACAATTTGATATCATCACTGTAGTTTTAACAAAATCATGAATAGCAGTCTTTGCTTTTAATATGGTTCATGATTTATGAATCTAAATTTTATCCATTTTTTACTAATATAAATAAATTAAAATGCCTAGAACAAAATTTTCAAGTTGTTTGATAAAATGTAGACAGACACAAATTCGTGTTATAGTTAAAAATGATACGAAATTTTAGTATCCAAGTATATATTCTAGTTTGTACTAAACTCTAGTAAATTTGATATAGTTTTTACTAATGTAAATAAATTAAATTGTCCGAAAAGAAAATTAAGAGCTATTTGAAGAAAAGTATAAAAAGTCCCAAATCTATATATTACGTTTAAATTTGAGTTTCAACTGAAAATTATTCAAAATTTTGATATGCAAGTATATAAAACAATTTATACTATTTGTTAGTCAATTTTATCTAGTTTATACTGATTTATACAAATAAAAATGTTCAGGGCACAATTTTAAAGTTATTTAACAAAATGTAAAAAAACGTCCAAAATCCACCTATAGCCAATTATTCAATCGACTCAAATCTCAACGGAAACGAAAATTCGCATTTCAACTACAAATTATTCAAAATGTTGATATCCAAGTATATATATAACAATTTATACTATTTGTTAGTAAATTTTATCTATTTTCCATTAAAATAAATAAACAAAAACATTCGATACAAAATTTCTAACTTATTTGAAGAAATGTAAAAAAATGTCCCAAATCCACATGTTGCTAATTATCAAACTCAAATCTGCGCTTCAACTACAAATTATTCAAAATTTTGATATACAAGTGCATATAATAATTTATACTAAATTTTAGTAAATTTTTTAAAACAAAATTTCGAAATTCTTTGGAAAAATGTAAAAAAATGCCTCGAATCAGCAAGATCCAAAAGTTATTCAAATCGAGTAAAATGTGTTAGAAAAAATCTGTCCATGGATTCAATATGGTTGATGATTTATAAATATTATAAAACATAATTGTACTGTTAGCTAAAATCATTATTCTTCTTTTGAATAACATTTTAAAGTATACAGAGTTGCTTTATAAAAAATATAGGTAATTTAATTTTGTGCAAACTTCTTAAATATTTCATTGACATTAGATACACTATTTAAAAGTTACAAACGGAAAAGCCATCTATCATTCTATATTTATAATAATTATGACAATTATTTTATCAATATACTTTTTACGTGTCTTTCATAAATATTATGAGAAGAAAGTGGTTTTTGTAAAAATTCAAGAATATTTTTGTTCTTAAAATGGTGATTTTATCGAAAAATGTTGGTCCTAAAGCAGACAAACTACTAGAATACATCAAACTCGTTATATTAAAATTAATTCAATATATAATACGAATAATTTTAATTTTATCAATTATTAATTAGTAATGACACTTAGGATTTAAAAGAAAACCATTACTTACAAAGAGCATATAAATATTTTTCGACCCATTTATGATGTAAATATTGAATTATTAATAACAACTGCACTTATAATAACTATTATTAACACAAAAGAAAATATACTAATATATTTTTCAAAGAAAAACATCTAAAAACTAATTTTTTTGTATAAATAACACACCTTTTGTTTGAACAATGACAAAAATTACTTCACTCTTTTGAAATATTTCTGATTTTGAATAATAATAATAAAGTAAGAAAAAACGCATAAAATTTGAACTATTCTACTTGATTATTAAACATTTATTTAATTAATTAACTATTTTGAAGCACATTTAAAAATAAACCTGTCACAACAGACATTTTTAATCTAAAAACAACTGTCAAGTTTGACGTTTAACAATTCTAACCTCAAACAATATAAATTAAATTTAATGTTTAAAGTGATTATTTCATGTATTAAAAAGTGTTTTGGACTTGAATAAATATTACAATGTAAGCAAAAAATATATTTAATTAGAATTATGCCAACAGTTTGTCAAAATATTCATGAATAAGCCTAAACCACTTTTAATATGTAAAACATTTGTTTGGTACTTACTTAAAACATATTTTCACACAAAACACACTTTAACTTTAAATCTATTTAAATTGGTGATTTGTAAATTTATTATTATTATAAAGAAACTTGTCCAAGCAAGTCTCAGCACAGACTGAATAATTTATTTTAATAATTCTTACCCAAAAATTAAACATAGGTTATAAAATATATATTTATAGACTGGTAACATAGTTGTTATAATAATAATAAAACCAATAAATAATTTTCAATAATTGTGTGTATTCTATTTTTCAAAATATTCATCTATATATATATATATATATATATATATATATATATATATATATATTATAAATAAATTTAATTTAATTTAAAAACCCTTCAGCATCATTAATAATGTTGTAATTATTCTTTATTACTTTCATTAATATTTTTATATTACTGCACATATAAAATATATAAAACTTATACATATATAAAATATTTGCACTGTATACTGCAATATAATAAAAATCTTTCAAACACTTTTTTACAATCTCAATAAATAAATAAATAAATAAATAAATAAACATATATCTACTACCCAGTTCTTTTCCTCTTACCGCCAATTTTACCCATCTCTTCCTTCAATTTTTTTATACAATCCAAATGGTGCTGTATATGAAACCTGTATAAATTTTTACTCATCTCTACAGGATCGATAAAATTATCATCCCAATTATCATGAATTGCAATTTATGCTTCGTAAACAAATGCATTTTTTGAAAAGGCTCCAAAGCTGCAATTGCTAAAGTTGAAAGGATATCATTTGATGGTGATATGTAGGGATCGTTTGGACCAGGTTGTTGGTGGTTGAAGTATGATGTAAGGGAATCTAAATTGAAATCACTCGTGCTGCTGATTTTTACCAGGACTTCTGGTACTTTGACATCTTCTTGCTTAACTGGTTCAACAGTTTTCTCTTCAGCAATTTCATTTAACAAAACACCACTGTGTAACTCCTTCTGATCATCATTACAATGTATTGAAGTCTCAGACAGTCTTGGGAATACTTTTGGTCTTCTACATAACCGTCCATAAGTTTTCAATTTAAAACTTTCACCTTTGGTAGAACTTTTTAGACGAATCGGTTTAACCAATTTGATCAAATGTTACAAAGCTTGTGCAGTTGACCGATCTTCATAGTTAACAATGTGTACACCAACTTTTCTCAAGTCCAACATTTCTTTAACAGAATACTTTGCTGATGGTATTATTGTTATTATGTTTTTATTCATATAACGCCTGAAACAAATAAAATCACATTGTTTATATATATATTATATATATATATATATATATATTAGGGTGACCCATATATGTATTTGTTCTAAAAGTTGAAAATTGGTAAATGCAGTTGTGTAGAGAATTGTATGAGCTTTTTATCTTTATAAAACAAAGTTTATGTGCTGTAACAAGTTTTTGCGCAATTCAAACAAATGTGAGAAAATGTATAACCATTTTCATTTATGATTGCAATTTTATTAAAGTTTGACGACTTTTTTCGTCATGTTTTTGTTCCAAAAGTTGAAAATCGTTATATACAGTTATGTAGAGAACTTTATAAACGTTTCATTCATATAAAATACAATTAATGTGTTTTAATAAGTTTTTGCACATTTTAAACAGATGCCACAAAAAGTATAAAACATTTGTTTGCTGAGTTATACGAATTCAAAGTTTGATGATTTTTTTCGTAATATTTTCATTCCAAAAGTTGAAAATCGTTATATGTAGTTATATAGAGAATTTTATAAGCTTTTTATCTATATAATATAAAATTTATGTGTTTTGACAAGATTTTGCGCAATTCAAACAAATGTGAGAAAATGTATAACCATTTTCATTAATGTTTGCAATTTTATTAAACTTTTGACGACTTTTTCCGTCGAAAAATGTGCTCGCAAATCAATTCTTGTCGATTAAGCTGAACCGCCATTCTGGAATTATATAATAAATTAATTCACAAAAGTACTCTTCATTTAGTAATTGTGATACTTACGTTTATATGTTCAATTTCTTTTTCAGAAAATTTCTCTCGTGAACCTCCTAAAATGAATATTTTTGCTCTTGTTAAATTTTTCTCGTTGATTTCGTCCTTGTTACTGAGGGAATACATTTCATATATTAATTCGAGTATATTAACAAATTTGTAGAATGTTGTTCTGCGACCAATCACAATGCTCGAAAATGACGTATGTTATTAGTTAATATTGTTCGTTCGTTTTTTTTCGTTTCCTTTCGCCTCTTTCGCGTAGGTTATAAATAGGGGTGAGCGAAGGAATTCGTGGCAGTCGTCGGCCGCGGCCGGCGCCAGCGTCACCTAGGGCGGCGCTGAAAGCCCCCGGGGCACCAGGCCGGCGGCTCCCATCGGAGCTGGAGTGGTCGGGAACCCCGGGGCATCCGCCGGAGACTCCCGGCCACGGAGATTCCGTGCCACGGAGACTCCGAGCCACGGGGACACCGTGACTCGGAGACTCCGTGCCACGGGGACTCCGAGGCACGGAGACTCTGAGCCACGGAGACTTTGTGCCTCGGGGACTTCGTGCCTCGGAGACTCCGTGCCTCAGGGACTCCGTGGCACGGAGACTTCGGGTCACGGGGACTTCGAGGCACGGAGACTTCGGGTCACGGGGACTTCGAGCCACGGGGACTCCGTGCCATGGCGACCCCGGAAACCGTGAGACTGCGGCGAAGTCGATTCAATTTATATTTTTATGACGTCGTAATTAGATTTTACTCTCTATGTCTGGAGTCTTCGGGCCCGGAGACTTTGTGCTTCGGGGACTCTGTGACTTCGTGCCACGGAGATTCCGTGCCACGGAGTCCCTGAGGCACGGAGTCTCCGAGGCACGAAGTGTCGCGGCCGACGGCCGACGACTGCCACGAATTCCTTCGCTCACCCTATTTATAACCTACGCGAAAGAGGCGAAAGGAAACGAAAGGAAACGAAAACAAACGAACGAACAATATTAAGTAATAACATACGTCATTTTCGAGTATTGTTGATTGGTCGCAGAACAACATTCTACAATTTTGTTAATATACTCGAATTAATATATGAAATTTATCTCCTCAGTAACAAGGACGAAATGAACAATAGAAGTTTATCAGGAGCAAAAATATTTATTTTACGAGGTCCCCGAGAGAAATTTTCCGAAAAAGATACTGAAAACATAAAAGTAAATATTACAATCACTAAATAAATACTTTTGTGTATTAATTTATTATCCAATTCCAGAATTATATATCAACAATGGTGGTTCAGCTTAATCAATAAGAATTGAATTACGAGCACATTTTTCGACATTTATTTAAATTGTGCAAAAACTTGTTCAAGCGCATACATTTTATTTTACATGTATGAAAAGCTTATAAAATTCTCTACATAACTGCATATAACGATTTTCAACTTTTGGAACAAAAACATGACGGAAAAAGTCGTCAAAAGTTTAATATAATTGCAAACATTAATGAAAATGGTTATACATTTTCTCACATTTGTTTGAATTGCGCAAAAACTTGTCAAAACACATAAATTTTATATTACATAGATAAAAAGCTTATAAAATTCTCTACATAACTGCATTTAACGATTTTCAACTTTTGGAACAAAAACATGACAAAAGATTTTGTTAAAATTAATTTAGAAGCATTTGAGCCCTTGGGAAAAAAGAAATTCGAAATTGTCCATATTAAGGACCACCCTAATACATACATACATACATACATATATATATATATATATATATATAATATTATTCATATTTCTATTACCTGTAACAATCATCGATGTTCACACAAAATGCTTTATTGACAACTCTTAAAACAGCATCTCTAGAAGTTGTAAAATAAGAATCAGCATTTTGGATTCTCAAAAAAGCATTTCTGGAACACCCAGTGTATACAGAGTATCCTCGACAGGCTATTTCAAATAGCAAATCTTCCATTCCAAAAGTATCCATGCTAATAACTATTTTCATGTTTGAATAATTCCTAAAATCAAAATTTTAATTACAAATTTGTTAGAAACATTTCAGTTTATATTTTCAATATATTTGGATATTTATTTCATCTTTGACTATTTCTTATACAATATATAAGAATAAATACTTGTAAAATACAAAATTGTAAATATTGAAAAGAATGTATGGATAAAATGAATAATTCAATATTTAAGCATTTCTTAATTAATTTATCATATTAAATCAATCAGTCAGTCAATTATTCATTTTTTTATACAGTTGAGACTTTTAAATAATTTGTTACTAACATTAGTATTAAATCACGAAGATATTTTTTATTTACGTATCAAATAGCATTTTGAGGTACTTTTTTATACAATTTTAAACTACTTAAATTGTTACAAGTAATCATCAGTATATCAAAGTATATCAAATTTTAGTGTTTAATATCAATAGTATATATTTATATCAAACAAGTTTTTCATAAATAAATAAAAAATTTATAATAAATTCAAATAAATATTTAAATCAATTCTCATTAATTTATTTTATCAATGTATTTAAGAATATCCCTTCATGTTTTAAAATAACGAAATGCCTTATGTTATTATAATGATATATTATAACACACTGTATAGTTGTAATTGTTTTTTTTTTTTAAATGTGATAAAAATATCTATTTATTTTCAAGTGTATATAAAAGTTTTTACTAAAATTTAGTAAAATTCATCTATTGTTTACTAATATAAATAAATTAAAGTGTCTAGAACAAAATTTTCAAGTTGTTTGATAAAATGTGGACAGACACAATTTCGCAGTTAAAAGCAGTTAAAAATTATACCAAATTTTAGTAGCTAATAAGATTCAAGATCACAATTCCAATTAATTTTCACTAAATTTTATTTTGTACCTGATGATACTTTCAATCTTATCAGCAGCATTTTGCACATTAAAATCAACAGGAACATCAATAATAGAACTGTCACAAATTAAAGTATCAATCTGTTCTTTCTCCCCTAAATCTTTGATGTATGAACTGTTTAAAATATTGGACGTTATGCACAATTTTCCAGTGTATAAATAATCATGATCATTACCTACAAAAGAAATAAATAAATATATATATATATATATATATATATATATAAATTTATTATTATTATCACATGTAAAATGATACATCACAGTTCCAGTCAAACTTACAATGATCAGAGTTTTTTTTCTATATGTGAATGGTCGTAAATCCTTATTTATCTAACAAATAGTTAATATTTATAGTACATATTAATATTAATCAATATTAATTATTAATTAATTGTTATATATATTATGGTTTACTTTAGTGAAACATGCAACTGCTCTTAAATTTGGTTCCGATGAATAAATTGGATATGGCCATGTACTGTTGATGGCCGAGCTGATGTCTGGTGATATTTTGCTTAAGAAGTAAACCGTTTTGGGAGACTGAAAAAAAAAAAATATGTATTAATATAAATAAATAAATATATATATATATATATATATATATAAATTTTGTGATAAGAGTGGAACGAATATTAAATGTTAAATATGAACAAAACAACACTTTGATAACTACAGACGTTTTTCATTACTGAGTCAAGCATTGCAAAGATTAGTTGGTGTTTTTTTGTATATCAAAAATTAAATGTAATTAAATAAAATATTAAAAAATGTGTAGTATATAAGTAACTGCTTTTGAAATTACAATAAATATGAGGCATACCATGGTCTCAAAACATCTGTAATTATTGAATAAAGTGTGTGTTAAAAATCTGAGTGTAGTATATACATATATTTAAGTAGAACTTCAAACAAAAAATCCAAACAAAAACCAAAAAATGTATAAATTAGTGAATTTTGATTATCATATTATATAAATTATGTATATTATATAAATTATGAAAGAGAGGAATTTACTTATTTGAAATATAATTAAAATAATAATAATAACAAATGAATGGATTATATAACGAAATATTCAGATGATAGTTTGACTTTTTTTTAAGAAAAAAAGGAAAATTAAGAAAAAAAAATATTTACCTGCATGACAGATTTAATTTTGGTAATTGTTTTAGGAATTTTTTTTACATTTGGTCAAATAACTTAAACTTTTTATTCCAGACACTTTTATTTAGTTATATCATTATAAACCAGATAAAATTTATCAGAATCTAGTATAAATTGTTATATATACTTGGATATATAATTTTTGAATAATTTGCAGTTAAAACGCCTGATTTGACTGGAGAATTAGCAATAGATTAAATTTTGGGACATTTTTCAACTTTTTGTCGAATATCATAGAAACTTTTTTCCGGACACTTTTATTTGTTTATATTAGTAAAAGCTAGATAAAATTTACTAAAGTTCAGTATAAACTGTTATAAGCACTTGCATATCAAAATTTTGAATAATTTGTAATAGAAGCGCAGATTTGAGTTTGATAATTAGCTTTAGATGGTTTTGGGACATTTTTTTTTACATTTTGTGAAATAACTTGGAAATTTTGTCCTGGGCATTTTTATTTGTTTATATGAGTACAAACTAGATAAAATTGACTAAAGTTCAGTATAAATTGTTATATATACTACCTTATCAAAATTCTGAATAATAGTTAAATAAAGGGCCTATTTGAGTTTGATAGCAATTTATGAATTTGTAACATTATTTTACATTTTGTCAAATAACACTTTATTCTGCACTTTTATTTAATTATACTAATAAAAACTAGATAAAATTTACTGTCAAATAGTATAAACTGTTATATACACTTGGTTAGCAAAATTTTGAATAAAATCGGTTGGAGAAGGGGAGTATTTGTTTAATAATTTAATTTGACAATTTTTGTGCTTAATTGCTTAATCAATCTGCTAAAAAAATAAATATATTAATAAAAAAACTAATTATATACTTTAACACATACATGCACGTTACCGATAAAAAAAATATTATATCTGAATTCTGGCACTTAGAAAATATTAACTGGAGTTAAACTGTCTGTAGCATTTATTTACAGCGTTTTAAACATTAAATAAAAAAGTTAAATAAACAATCTAGAATATTGTCTAACATTTAAGACCCTCCAGCAACTGAGTATACTTGTAAATCACCCATAAATTAATTTAGAATTTTTTTTATTGAATATTTAAGCATATACTTAGTTATTAATTAATAAGGAACACCATATTAAGAGAAGTAAGACAGTACTACTTCAGATGAACATTTACTTTAAATAAATAAATATTATATATATATATATATATATATATATATATATACGCCTAAGTCTGTTTTTACACGGTAGATTGGTTCCAGAAGAAGTCGTGTAAAAAAACGTGTAAAAAAAGACATTAATCTTATACAAAAATGGGTGATTTGTTCTTAATCTCTAAACCTATTAAAATTAGTGAAAAACAAGAATTTTTAAGAACAAGAATTCATGTTTATTTTATTAAATCAAATATATAATTCTGATACTATCGATGGTTTCAGACTTTTTTCTTTCATAAATACTTTTTTGTGATATGAACATATTTCGCAAAAATTAAATTTGACAAAAAAAATTTAAGTACATAAAATTTCAAATCGTGCTAAATGGAATAAAATCGTGTAAAAAAATTAAAAATATTCAATTTTCAAACCGTGTTATATCAAAACCGTGTACAAAAAGACCGTGTAAAAACAGACCGTGTAAAAACAGACTTAGGTATATATATATATATATATATATATATATATATGTATATATATAATGTTAACCATATTATAAATATTGTTTTATTGTTAATAACAATTCAGTGGCGATTTATTCAAAACAGAATTTGTAAACATAGTTTATGGAAGTATATGACAAATGCATGTATTAAAATTTAACTCATTTTTATTTTCAGGTTAAATTTAAAATACAAATACTTGATAAATAAAATGTATTTTTTATCAAGTATGTGCCATGAAATGAAGATAAAGAAACTTTTGTAAAAGAAAATAAGAATCACACCACATTGAATTTGAAGTGAAAATGCATTTCTTAATCACAAATACTGAGAGAATTAATTTAATTATAGTAATTGTGATAAATTTGAATAATTGATTATGATAATTGTAGATTATAAAATGATATATATATATATATATATATATATATATATATATACACTTCAAATGATGGCAGTATTTATGTAAATCTTATGATATGAAATAAAAATAAAAGAAATTAATCTTTTGTTTAAGAAATCTGAAGCTTAGTTACCTCTTATGACATTTCTCCTGATGTAAGTAAATTGTCTTTAAATATTAGAATATGATTTATTTGCATTTGCATTGTGTACCCTTCATCATCCTTATGGCAAAATTATATTGTCGAGTGTAAATAGATCTATTCGAGGCTCGAGTAATCCAAATATCTGCACAAATCCTCAACTAAAGCCTGAATAATAATAAATTGATTATAAATTCTGTGTAGTTTTCTTAAATAGAAAAAATACTTTTATTTTTTTTTACTTAAATATAATAATGTTAAGATTCCAAATCTCTTCATAATGTAATAATAATATTTTATGTAAATGTTCATGATATAAAATAAAAATAAAAGAAATTAATCTTTTGAGACTTTTTTCTGAAGCTTACTGAAACATTTAGTTCAAAATTTGACAATAGTGATCTCTTATGATATTTCTCCTGATTAAATGTTAAGACTGAAAATAATAGTAGTCTGCCCGAAGTTTAAAATACAAATACTTGATAAATAAAATATATTTTTTATCAAGTATGTGCATGAAATGAAGATAAAGAAACTTTTGTAAAGAAAATAAGAATCACACCACATTGTATCTGAGCAAAATGCTTTTCTAATCACATATACTGAGAGAATTAATTTAATTATAATAATTGTAATAAATTTAAATAAATGATTATGATAATTGTAGATTATAAAATGATATACGAGTATATACACTTCAAATGATGGCAGTATTTATGTAAATCTTATGATATGAAATAAAAATAAAAGAAATTAATCTTTGTTTAAGAAATCTGAAGCTTAGTTACCTCTATGACATTTCTCCTGATTAAGTAAATTATCTTTAATTATTAGAATATGATTTATTTGCATTTGCAGTGTGTACCCTTCATCATCCTTATGGCAAAATTATGTTGTCGAGTGTAAATAGATCTATTCGAGGCTTGAGTAATCCAAATATGTGCACAAATCCTCAACTAAAGCCTGAATAAAAATAAATTGATTATAAATTTTGTGCAGTTGTTCTTAATTAATAATTATGCTTAAATATAAAAACCTATTTTTGTACTTAAATTATATTAAATGTTAAGATTGAAAATAAATAGTAGTCTGCCCAAAATTTAAAATACAATACTTGATAAATAAAATATATTGTTTATCAAGTATGTGCCATGAAATAAGATAAAGGATTTTTTGTAAGAAAGTAAGCATCACACCACATTGAATTTGAAGCAAAAAATGCATTTTTTATCACAAATATATATATATATATATATATATATATATATATATATATATATAATAGTACTGAGAGAATAATTCGAGGCTCGAGTAATCCAAATATCTGCACAAATCTTCACTAAAGCCTAAATAATAAATTAATTATAAATTCAGTATATAATGTATGAATTATATAAAATATTAGGATTCCAAATCTCTTCATAATATAATAATGATAATAATAATATAGTATTTTGTTTGAATGCAGGTACCATGGTATGAGACAACTATGTCTAAATAAATAATTCTCTTACCTTGTGCCCGTGCTTTGACTTTCAGTTCCCTGTATTTTCTATTTTCTATTTTTTTTTTCTATCACAGCTGCATTCTTCTTCTTCCCAATCCTTTCGGTCCTTCTATTTTCATTTTCAGTCCTTCGTGTAGAGGTACTCGTTTTGCAGAATGAGCCCAGACCAGTTTTCTTTACTTTTCAGGATCGAGCTCAGTAGAATTTTTCTTTGTTTAAAGTCAAACTTGTAATATAAGTACACTATCTAGCCTATCGTGCCATATCACCTCGTTAGAAGCTTGATTGAGCGAGATTCAAAACAATAAAGTTACAATTTTTCTCATAACTAAAAATACATGTGATACTTGTTGGGGAGCAAGGGTAATTTTAAATATCACCCTCCCCCCCCTTGAATGTTATTTTATCTCTCGTTCAATAGTAGGGACTCACAGATCTTGTGTAACCAGTAACATCTAATTTGGTAGATATTTGCATGCGCTTCAACTTGCTTTAGACTGAGCCTTCTCTGTATCATTATTATTGACCTATAATTTTAACAGATAGCCTCGATTAGTTGTGGAGACTTGTAACCCAGCCGATAAGCCTATACAACTGCTGCCAGAACTGAAAGAATAACAAAGAATTGTGTTTATTGATTCAGCAGTGTAATAATATATAAAATTATATGTTCAGAACACAATAAGTCTATGATTTATTTCATAGGAACGCTTGTACAGCCAGATAACCTCACAAACAACACAAAAACTTGTACAAGCACATTTTTAGCCACAAATATATTTATTTTAGAATTTTCTACATTAACTATCACATGAGAATATTAAATTCATTCAGAATTTATGTACATGCAGCAAATTCAGCAAAAAAAAGCACTTATGACAAGTGTTATTTGACGTTTATGCTATTTGGGGTTAGGTTTCAAAAAATTTTAAAAATTGTAATAACACACCAAGACATAATTTTATAACAATTTGTGACTACCAACTCATACAGCAATAATAAATAACATAATATTTCATTTTTTACCCGAAATTGGCGTCTAAATCCATTATCCCCATGATTAATCCGTTACACTTGCCCATGTAATTTTTAATTTCTGAACAAATAGTAAGTACTGAGTAATGTTTTTAGTTATTATTAGCATATTTATCGTGGCAAAAACAGTTTTTCACTTATATAATTCGATTTAAATCGAAATTTCTACTTTCAGGGATTTTTTTTTTACAACATCCGGGTTCGCCATCTTGGATCCGGTATAAAAGGCGGGGCAAATTGACAAAGAGCTCATTAGTGTTTCAGATTTCAAACAGTAAACATTGAAGTGAAAAGTGAATTAATAGTGAAATAAGTAGTGAAATAAATAGTAATAATAGTAGTGAAGTGAGTAATAAGTATATTTTAATATGAACCAGTGTGCAGCATGTATATAGTAAGTACAATGATGAAAATAAATAGGAAATAAACATTTTTAAAGTTAAGTGGCTTAAACCTTATGTCTAAATTTTGAAATAGTTCAAAAAAAATTTAATGACAAAAATACTTTATTAATAGCATAAGAACATAATTTTATACTCATTTTTTTTATTTTTTGAGTCCGTCACCCATCAAACAAAAATTGCAGCCCCAAACCAAGGAAAAAAAACATTGACTTTTCGAGATTTGTAAATTGAAGGAACTATTGTTGGAGAGGAGGAGTCGAGTAACCCACTATGATTCATATTTTTTTAATCATTTCACCCTTGTATTAAACTGTTTTAATAAAAAAAAAATGCTCTGTTACAACTGATTTTTATTTCAACCATTCAATTGAAATTGGTCTAAAAATATGTAATTAATTTAATATTAAATTTGTTTTTTCTTTCAGCCTTGTAATTTGTGATTTTTGAAATTTGAATTTACTTTTTTTGATAGACCTTTGTGTTTTTGAACTAATTTGAAAGTGAATTTAGGAAATAGATAATAATGGAATTAAAAAAACATATGCTAAGATATTTCAAACATTCAACAATTTTCAAACAAATAATGCGAAGTACATGATAGATTTTCAAATATATTACCTATTATTATTATATATTATTATTAGTAATGTGATGTTTATTTCACGATGATATTAATTATTATATTTCCACAATATGCATAAATGACCGACTAATTAATGACATAATTATAATATATTAGAAATTTAAAAACTAAACTCAACAGACAAAGCACAGGAGTATTGACGAATACAAAACAAATTAAAAGATCTTAAAAAATTAAATATATATTAATATCAAAACTGAGAGAAATTAAATTCCTAGGATTCATTTATAAAGCATTCTTCTTTAATTATTTCTTTAATGTATTTTTCAATAGTGTTCTGCCTTGTATTAATTAAGGGGGTATTCTAGTGCAAAAATAAAAAAAAAGATTTTTTATGTCATATTCTCAAAGTTCAACTATCTAAGAATATGGGTACGAGAAGGTTTTTGAAAATTTTACTGACTCGGTCTCCATACTGGTTTGGCTTCACGCAAAACTTTAAATGCGTTTTTCTCAGAACATTTTTTTCAGTACTGTTGACACGATTTCTCGAGTTTTAATCGACCGATTTAATTGAAATGTTCAGAGAGTCTTGTTTATAGACCTATCTATAGCCCGAACTAGGATTATCTCCAAATTCCAATTTTTACTATTTTTAAAAAAATCGAGAAACTAAAAAAAACAGTACAAAAACACCTTTTTCAAACAGTCGCCAATTTGTAAAAAAAAAATTTACTCATCGCTAGTTTAAGCGATTGCGACCTCATTGTAGATTAATAATCTTTTTATTATTGGTATTTCCGATGGCTAGGAGGGCTGAAATCATGTCAAGACTGAGGTGCCAATTTTTTGAGACCACCCACTTCATCAGCTGCCACTTTTTACAATTTTCCAACTTTTTGTTTTTGATTTTATTTTAAATATATTAATAAACAAGTGGTAAAAATGGATAGTAAAAACATTCATTGCTTTCTTTTACGACACTTTAAAAATGACCTAAATTCATCGCTCTACACTAGAATACCCCCTTAAACTGTTTTTTATAACAATAAGGTTATGATCATAGATAAATAAGCATAAATAGATCGCTATGTCTGGTTACACCTAGATTGAAATTTGAATTAATGAAAATAGATAGCAGCACATATATATATAATGGAAATCAACCCCCCCCTGGTACTACTTTTTGGAGGTATGTATGAGTAGTACAGTAAAAAAGACCTGAATAATTTTTAATATTGGAAACAAAAACCAAAACATGCAGACATTTTTATAGAATAATTAAATTTAATTTCATGATAGATATTAATTATTAAAATTCCACAATTATGCATAAATAAGATCTCAAAAACTAATTGCAGTAGTATTTAAAAACTAAGCAAAAATCACCGACTAATGTCAATTACTTAATGACTTCATTATTTAATTACATCTAATATTTAATCAGAAGAAAAAGCACAGGGGTATTGTCAAATAGATTTCTTAAAAGTCCTTAAATAAATGAAATATATATTGATATCAAAATTGAGAGAGAACTACATTCCCAGGATTAAAATTCATTTATGAGACATTCCTCTTTATTAATTCTGCATTTAATAAATATTTTGCTATCTAATCAAATATTAGTAAAGTTGCATTGAAGAAGAAACTTTGAATAGTTTTTGTATGAGTGTTCTATTATCATTACATTTAACCATGTTTCATTATGATGAAAAACATTATCATGAAATTGCCATAAACTAGCTGTAAATGGAATTCTGTCTTAAGGCAATTAGGGCATCGTGCCTTAAGGCAAATTGCTGGAACTTCCCGTACCAAAAATTATTATTTTTTTTAAAAACGATTAACATTTTTGAAAAAAATTTACTTCGAAATAATTAGATTTTTGAGAAACTAGGAATATGACAAAAAATTACTTTTTTTTGAAAAAAAATTTTTATTTTGAAAACAAAACTATTTTTTTGAAAGAAATTTTTTTTTTGAAAACAAACTATTTTTTGAAATGAAAGAAAAATGTTTTCTTTATTTTGATATATTTTGAAAATTCTGAACTTTTTTCAAAGCAATCGTAGTGCTTGAACTGCATAGAGACGAATTGTCATAGCGCAAGTGCCGCGCCGCCGTCTAACGCATAAACATTGGTACGGAACCATAGAAAGTAAAAAAAAATTATACTTATTGTTAAAATTTCTATACAATATCTGATAATTTGATGTGCATGTCTAATCATCATTTTTTAACCGCCGAATGGCATTTTTTTTTACTTTTTTCATTAGATCTCCGAAACCGCTAGACCTGCCTTCATGAAAATTTGATCAACTCTTCATCTGCCAATACAAGTAAAATGTTTTCCGAATTATTCAAATCGGACGCTCCGTTCTCTTAAAAACGGATGGTTTACCGTTTTCGGCACTTTTGCCCCGTATCTTCGGAACGGCTAGACCTAACTTCGCCAAAAACTAAATCAGCACGTCTCCTTATCAGTACCAAATCGAATGTTTTTTGAATTATTCAAATCGG